TGCCGAGTCAATAAAAAACGAATCAATCTCTTTAAATAAAAAAGCTATATATTTATTATAAATCTAGAAGTACCAGAATGTCCCTAGTACAGAACAAATCAGCAATCCCCGTTTTTTCTTCCAAACATTTAAAACCCTTGATTATTGACAAACTGGAATTGGCATATATTTTTTTCATGCAGTTAACAGAGTGGACATGAGCACATAGCTCAGAAATCAGTTATAAATATTAAATTGTATTTAACATTCATAGTAGAAATGGTTATAAAGTGCTGAAGTCATGTAAGTCTGCAACAGTCACAAACTCAGTGTCCTTCTCAAGCAGCAACAGGTCTGCTACATCCACCTCGTTTTAGGTGTGTCTTTTTTTGACGGACACTTTGTCATTTCCTGTTCCACCTCCCCCCAAAGATTTACAGATTGTCCTATGTCTATGGCTGATAAAATTCTGTACAAAATATAGCAGGTGGTGCTGAACGATGCCACTTCCATTTCAGTGCAGAGAAATATTCAAGCTTTGTGTACCTGTAACCAAACTAGGCTTGTTATATTGTTTCCCCCTGAGTTGTCATAAATTAACAGTAAAGATGAATGAGGATGGAGCAGCGAGCATGGACCATCGCCTGGAGAGTAAGATTCGGTACGTAGGAGCCAGTAACCCACCCATTATCCTCACAGTTACCTTCTTTACAGCAAATGGCTAAAATGAGAAATACTATACATGTAGTGTAACTGCAAACAACACCACAAAATAACAATGATCGGTTCCCCTGAAAACTCTGGCAAATTAAGAGGAGTCAGAGTTACATAAGACGGAAATTGCCACTTGTAACTCGTGATGGTCAAGTTACTGTCCCTGCCGCCCCGTGTGAAACACCGAAATGCTTCAGCAGTCAGATGTTTTTCTTTTTAAATCAGAAACGCTTCACCAACTCAATGAAAAAGAATTCTGATCCAAAGAACATCCTCAAGTATTCTTAGGTGATGAAACCTTATTTTAAAAGGCTAAGGTTATTTGCTGTTCGTTATTTTCCCCCTTCAAATAGCACATGTTGTCCTCAGTCACATTGAAGAATCATAACCATTGGCCTTCTGGAGTAACTTTACAGGAGAAGTTAGTATTCGTATTCTTGGAGGCCTTGAAAGGATTGCCGAGGGAGCTGAAAGGGAGGCTGATGTCCCAGGTGATATTTCTTGTGATTACTTTAATCATCCTAGAATAACTTAATAATAAATAGTGGTTTAAATTAAAGATACTACAATCACATATTTCTGAATAATTAAGAGCATCAGGAAATGCATTTTGAATGCTATTCTGTATATTCTGTGTGAAATACTTCTGGTAATGACTGGCCATAAAAAGATGTGGGAATCTTCACATTCATGATTTTCAAGTTTGTGTGTGTGTGTATACATATATGTGTGTGTGTGTGTGTGTGTGTATACATATATAAATATACATACATATACAATATATATACACACACATATATATACTATACACACACACACACACACACACACACACACAAATTTCCATTTATTAGCCAAATGTTTGGTCTTAAAGTGTACATCATTTCCATTGAATATTTGGGAAATTAAGAGGTTATACATTTTTAATATAAAACCTCAGTATTTTTCAAAGAGTTTTAACCATTTGTTCATATTTCTGAAAATGAGAAATTGTAAAAGTGATTTAAGATTTGTTTTTTTTGAATGGCCAATTGCATTTCAATGACCTGGGCTAGATATCATTTTACAAGATAGCAGGTGATATATGTGAGAGCACTTACAACCACTTTGCCAATTTGTGTCACTATTTTAAAACTGGAATGTGGACCATGGTGCTTCTGCGTGTCTCTGGGTCGCTCCGGAATACAGCCAGGTTTCTGTATGGAAGAGTATTTGGTTGTTTCTGTTTTGGCTTAAAGAACAAGCAAACAGGAAAGCACAGAGAAAAGGATGTTGGTGGTAGTGTTCATGTCCCCATTCCCTTCCAAGTGTCGTTTTGAAAGCAGGTGGAATGGTTAGCTCCTCTACACCACGGTGCCCCCCAGACACTGCCCCCCCCAACCAGCCTTGGGTGGTTGATGTCGTACGAAAGCCTGTCATTCTGGCTCCGTTTTCATAGGAACTTTATGCTCGTGCTTCCCAAGGTCCATTTCAAGGAAGTCTTCAGGGATGTCTTGCAAAGCTCTCCCCCGGTAGCTCTCCGCCTTCCCGTCGCCTGCGTGGCGGCGCCGGCACAGTCCCTTCCCACACGGCCTCACCAGCGCCAGGCACCCCGCGGCCACCGCCATCCCAGCTGCGCAGGAGTAGAAGGCTCTGCTGTACACCTTGCTGTGGTCCACCAGCAGCCCTGGGAAGAGCAGGCACACCGTCAGCATCGGGCCGCAAACCCCTCTTCTAACTCTCTATCCTTCTCCCTTCCTCTCTGTAAAAAATCAATAAAATATATTTAAAAAAAAAAGAAAGAAAAAGGGTCAAAGGCAGGCATCTTTTTTAGACTGGGGGGTAGGGGGAGAGGAGAGGGGGAGAAATAAAGCAGACAGCGTATACTTATTAGCAGCTGAGGTAATGGTGTCGCTAAAATGTCCTCATGGGCTGCCAGACTGGCGCGGCTCAGTGGTTGAGCATCGAGCTGTGAACTAGGAGGTCACAGTTCGATTCCCAGTCAGGGCACATGCCTGGGTTGTGGGCTCAATCCCCAGTGGGGGGCATGCAGGAGGCAGCCAGTCAATCAATGATGCTCTCATCATTGATGTTTCTCTCTCTCTCACCCGCTCCCTTCTTCTCTGAAATCAATAAAAACATATATTTTTTAAATGTCTTCATGGGCTAATCTGTCCTAAAACACGGGACTGCTGGACGCATGCTTCTTCGGAAAGGGAATACTCTTAAGAGAGGAAAGAGCTCTATTACTTTCCCTTGGGCTCATGTCAGGTCTCTGTTCACGTGGGGTAAGGTTTCCAGTCCCAACAATGCTAAGGTCCTATTTCAGGTCTAAGGTATGAAGCACACCCTGTCCTTCCCACAAGGAAGTGTGTGGTAGTGATCAGGGGAGTATTGGAGTGCTCCGCTCCCTGACACCCCTCCCAGGAAGGGAAGGTGGCTCCCAGAAGTCCCTCAGTCCTGCTGTTCCACAGGTCAGAGGGTAACGAGCTCATTATCCATGGGCCCCTCCAGTATTTACATAGCACGATGGTGGGCAAGGCCTGGGCAGCTGGGGCTGCAGAGGGACTTGGTCACCGGTTTACCATTGGACCATCGGCTCACAATTGCTGGGGCTGGACCCCAACACACAATCTTTGTTTTGACCTTCCATGTCCTCCTATTAAGTCCAGAGAGCTGCTCAGGTAATCTAATTCTGCCAGCTCTCTAAGTCTATGGACGTATTATAATCAGGAGACTTTTAAATTAGACTCGAACTGGAAGCGAGCACAATTAACAAGGGAATACTAACCATTGTAGATTATATAATCCATAGGACAGGGCCCACTTTATGCCCCCCCCAACCAGCCTTGGGTGGTTGATGTCGTACGAAAGCCTGTCATTCTGGCTCCGTTTTCATAGGAACTTTATGCTCGTGCTTCCCAAGGTCCATTTCAAGGAAGTCTTCAGGGATGTCTTGCAAAGCTCTCCCCCGGTAGCTCTCCGCCTTCCCGTCGCCTGCGTGGCGGCGCCGGCACAGTCCCTTCCCACACGGCCTCACCAGCGCCAGGCACCCCGCGGCCACCGCCATCCCAGCTGCGCAGGAGTAGAAGGCTCTGCTGTACACCTTGCTGTGGTCCACCAGCAGCCCTGGGAAGAGCAGGCACACCGTCAGCATCGGGCCGCAAACCCCTCTCCCCCAGCACCCCCTCTCAGATGCTTCTCTCTCCTGGCCTGCTTTGTTTTATCTTCACTGCCATGGAGGCAGGAGAGGCTCCCGCCACGCCGCTGCGCTCGCCAGCCATGATCCCGGCTTCTGGTTGTGCGGTGCTCCCCCTGTGGGAGCACACTGACCACCAGGGGGCAGCTCCAGTACTGAGTGTCTGCCCCCTGGTGGTCAGTGCGTGTCATAGCTATCGGTTGTTCTGCTGTTCGGTCGATTTGCATATGAGCCTTTTATTATATAGGAGGATATGCTCTCCATTGAGAGCCTATGAAGCTATCTCCAGTCTTCCTTAGGAATATTCCTGCCCTAAACAGTGTGTCGAACTAGTAAAAAAAAAAGAAAGAAAAAGGGTCAAAGGCAGGCATCTTTTTTAGTCTGGGGGGTAGGGGGAGAGGAGAGGGGGAGAAATAAAGCAGACAGCGTATACTTATTAGCAGCTGAGGTAATGGTGTCGCTAAAATGTCCTCATGGGCTGCCAGACTGGCGCGGCTCAGTGGTTGAGCATCGAGCTGTGAACTAGGAGGTCACAGTTCGATTCCCAGTCAGGGCACATGCCTGGGTTGTGGGCTCAATCCCCAGTGGGGGGCATGCAGGAGGCAGCCAGTCAATCAATGATGCTCTCATCATTGATGTTTCTCTCTCTCTCACCCTCCCCCTTCCTCTCTGAAATCAATAAAAATATATTTTTAAAATGTGCTGAATATGTACATATTATACATAAAGCACATGCATCTGTTATGTTTTGCACATTTTACTTACAAAATTGTATTTTAAATGTGGATACATTTTTCCATATGACCTAAATAAATAAATTCTTCTTTTGATCTGCATTCCTACTGAGATCCAAGGGAACATAGTTGTGTAAAAATAGTTTACAATATTGTAA